TGTTAACGCTTATGTATATAAATTACTAACAAACTCTATGTATGTTTTTTTGTAGAGGTCTTTTAACATTGATGATGATCGAAAATCATATTGTCTTCAATTGGCCAGAAAAAGACTAAGAAAGTTTCGATCTTTTTTTACAAACAAGTTTCTTAGGGATGCCGATAAAAATTTTATCGATGCAGAACTTCCAAAGGCTTATGCAGGCTTGATTTCGCCTGAAGAATGGGAAACCTTCAAAGAAAAAAGAAGAACCTTAGATTTTCAGGATTTGAGTGACGTGAATCGCCAGCGAGCATCAAGTCCCCCGTATCCATACAGAAAAGGGCGTATGGGCTATGCACACTTGCAACAAAGATTGGTAAATATATACAAATGATATGATATACTTGTTCATCATGTGTTATTATTGATTTATTATTTCTTTTAATGTGTATTTAGAAGAGGAGAAAAGTCAAGAAACATCTCTTCCGGAACATGTTCTATGGAAGGCTGCCCGGGTGGGTAAGGATGGAGTTGTTAAGGAAAATGTGCTTCAAATTTATGAGAAATGTGTAAGTATATCAATATTCCTATAATTAAATCAAAAGTTTATTAAAATACAAAATTTATGAGTTTAATCACCACTAATTTATTTCGCCATGCATATGGATTTCAGGAGAGTCTATCTCAATCTTTAACTCAAGCGGACGACCATGATTGCAGGAGCATACTTAGTCGAGTATTAAATGTTCCTGAGTATACCGGTCGTGTGAAGGGTAAGGGATTCAGGGTGACTCAAACATATTTGAGTAATCATCAAAGGAGGAAAGGTCATAGCAATAAAGAAGTGATGGAAGAGTTAGAAAAATTAAAATCTAACGTTTGTGAGTTGGAAAAGGACAAAGAAAAATACATGTCAGAAAGGCAAGGTTCAAGGATACTAGTGACAAAGATAGTATCAATTATGATTTCCAACAGAAAATTCCCGAGGTAACATATATTATTATGAATTAACACAATTTTTTTAATTGACATATATAAACATTAACAGTTTCATATTTATTATTGGTTTAGGGTATTTCACCTTGTCAGCTATATTTATCGTCACCGTCTTATCGCATGGTTGACAAGGGAAAAATGCATAATACCTTGAGAGAAGTACTTCACTATAAACCTCTCCATGCTGGATTTTTGAAAGTATCAATTGAAATTGCTTTAGAGAGGGATGCGCCATTACCGTTTCCTGACGATATTTCAGATGCAACATTGGTGGGAGAGGCAATAGGATCTTATGTTGCATGGCCGCCAAGCCTCATTTGCATAGATGATGAGGTATGTTAACATTTGCAGCGTTGAAAACTATTATGAATCTTTGAGTATTCAAATTTTTACGATCATTTAACGTATATTTTTTTCATGGTAATGTTAGACTCCCACGAAATCTAAATCAAAAGATAAGGGGATTAAGCCGCAGACTGAGTCAGTTGCATCCAAAAAGGAGGTAAATTGATATATATTATGCATAGAAAAGGTTAATTCACGATCTTATACTTCATCTAACTTATTATATGTATTTGATCTTTAGATTCATGTTATAGACATGCAACAAGTCCATATGAGTAAGAAGCCTGAAATTGGCAATATGTCCGCACAAACAAAGGATGTGGCAAAGTCTGCGGCTAGAAAAAAGCCTACTTCTCGGTATAGATCGTGCCTTTAGACATTAATGGGAATTTCAAATTTGGTCGATGGATGTGCTTGTAATATACCTATGGAGGAAGGTATTTTTGGTTTTTCCTATTATGAAACAATAAGTAGAGAGGATGTGGATCAAATTCTTAGACATGAAGAATTAGGCCTCGGTGTTGTCAATATATACATCAGGTATTCTCTGATCAACTTTATTTCGTTTTTATTGAACAATTTATCTACTAATTTCAATGAATGGTATTAATGTTAATGATGTTTTTATTTAAGTTTCATGTATACCAACTTGATGCGCCCGCGTCAATTGGACCAAAGATTCTCCTTCTTATCTCCAAACAATATCAACGCACTATTAATCCAACAACAACCAGATGATATCAAAGAATATTTTGTCCGTACATTTATGGCCAACAAAGTTACGGAAAAATTGTTTTTTTTTCATTTAATACTGGCAATGGATAAGATTTGTATTCAAAATTCATATATTATAATTTTTCATGTTTTGACGTTTTATAGAAAGTTTCAATCTAACCTTTGTTAATCTTACAATGGACACTGGTTGTTGGTTGTGATCAATCTAATAAGATAATTTGTATATTATTTAGATTCGTTACAAGGTGATTGGACAAAATACCCAAACATGAAAGAGATGGTTGATACGTAAGTTAGATTGTTCTAAAACTTCATTTGTATACTTATTTTTTTTTATGTGAGATTGTTTTAAATCTTTGTTTATATTTTGTTAGGGTCATACAAATTTTTAGATCACAAAGAAATATTCAAGTATCAAAGAGTAAGACAAACAACATTACATGAATTAGAGTGTATGTATATTTTCAAAATTTTGATTATATTAGTGATTCTACTTGATAAAAACAAGTTAAATTATATGAAATGATATATATTTGTATATTTTTCTATGTGTAGTGTCATCGTCATTGCAATGATATAGATTGCGTTATTTCATGTTGAGGTTTATGAAAGAAATTACTCTTTTGAATCAAATAGAGATTCTACTAATGGTACGAGTTTTTAACTTATGATTTATTTTAATATATTTAACATATTTCATCTAATTAATTAGTTTTAACTAAATCATATTATGTTATATTATATAGTACTTTGATGAATACAAGTCTTCTACTTATTCGAAAGATCATTTGGACGAAATTAAGGAGGATTGGTGTCAATACATTATTGATATGAGAATTTTATAAGGTATTGTGACACTTTCATTGATGAAAATTTTGAGTATATATAAGTTTGAGTTAATGAGATATTATGTCGTCATAGTGTGGTAAATTGTTGCAATGATGTTGTTGTTATGTGGAAGGTTAGTTAGGATGGTATTGGATTTAAATTCAAACAAATTTTGTTTGTATCATGGTATGAATTGGAGAATTTTTAATGGTGGGTTATAATAGATTCTTGATTTTTTTTTACATTGATTTGTATTAAATTATAATAGTTATAAGATTTAAGTGTTATATATATATATATATATATATATATATATATATATATATATATATATATATATATATATATATATATATATATATATATATATATATATATATATATATATATAACTTGGTTCTGATATATATGTCTTTATTGGTTTTGTTTCAGGTAGGTACGTATGTAGAAGATATATAGATATTCATTTAGGATTCTTCATTGTTGTTGTTTGTAGAGAAGATAGTAGAGAATATAGCAGCTCTAGAAGATAACAATATGTACATTTGGTGCATATTTATTTGTTTATAAAGCTGTATATGTAAATATTTAAATTTATGTATATATAAATTATTGAATTCTTTAAGCTGTATTTATGTATATATAAATTGTTGGATTAAAGTTGTATATATAAATATGTAAATTTGGTGCATATTTATTGGATTGAAGCTTAAAATTTATAAAATCTGGTGCAAATTTGTGAGACAACGCTTAAATTTTAAATGATTATGTGTACAGAGCGCTTAAAATATAAGTTGAATATATTAAAAAATTCGTGAACATTAGACAACGTTTTAAACTAAAACGCTGCCTATGATGGGGAATAGAAAACGCTTGTGAAATAACAAGCGCTGCCTAAAAGGAGACTTTAGAAAGTGCTTCAAAATAAAGCGCTGCCTAAAATATAAAAGAGAAAAAATACATTAGACATCGCTTTCTGAAGCGCTGCCTAAAGTAAAAGTGCTCCTATAAACATACTATAGAAAGCGCTTTTAACATTACAAGCGCTGCCTAAAATATAAAAAAAGAGAAAAATAATACATCAGACAGCACTTTCTGAAGCGCTGTCTAAAGTGAAAGTGCTGCTATAGACACACTATAGAAAGCACTTACAATGTTAAAAGCACTGTCTATAGGAGCCTTTAGAAAGTGCTTATTCAATAAAGTGTTGTCTAAAGTCTATATTAAGCAGCGATTTCATATGGATAAAAAACGCTGCCTATGGTTACAGCAGCGCAGGAACAAACAACATTTATAAGCGCTGTCTATTCTATTTTATGGTGTAGTGGTTGCGAGGTGAAAAAAATCTTAAAACTTTTTTTCTTAATTCCAAATTGCGAGGTGATTATCACCCTGTAAATTTTATTTTTCTTTACGAACTGACCCGGCAAAATCATTCCACAAATTCCTCATGTTCTTATAGTGCTCATATAAGGGAGATCGAGTCAGTCATAATACCCAAATACGATACACTTGCAAAGTTCCACTTCAATATCATTCTGATTTAACTTAAGCATAATAGTGTTAACATATTTTGCAGGTACCCTCTATGTCCAACAGAGAACCATCCTGATTGCATCAGAGGCATTCTACGATGATCTTCATAATCGGACAAATCATTCTATGTTCTAGTTCAACACATAACCGGTTATGACTTGAGTACCTTTTTTTTTTCGAAAATGGAAAAATAATATTGTATAAAACATTTGAACAATTGTAAATAAATTCTCCCCATATCCATTTGCTTCCATAGCATACAAAACAGTTGAACACCAACATACAAGATTATGTAATATTCTAATAAACACTTTAATAAAACCTATGAAAAAGAGAAAAAAAACACAAACAAAATACAAATATCCCAACTAGCCTCCTTGGCTAGCATATTCTACTATCTATCCAGTACACCATATGTGTAGCCTCTACTATGCGGCTTTAAAAAAAAAACAAAAAAATTCTCCATTTGTGTGGTAATTATTTTAGCCAACACAAGTTTCTCTTTGTCAATGAATATTAAGTGATATGATATACTATAGTTTGAGTCATGCATTTGTGTTAGTATAATAATCATTCTATAGCATTGGAAAAGCCACAGAATGATCTTGAGAGGAACACAAAGAAATGATTTCTTCTAGTGTTCCATTCATACAGTCAATGTACTTGTCATAAAGAAAGCCGTTTTCACACATATCAGTCTTCAATATTGATTTTGTCTCCATTTGTGGGAAATCTTCCATCATAAAAGGTGTTTGTGGAAATTGATTATTGAAGCCACCATACATAGGTATTTCTATATCCTGCACCATCACAAAACAAATATTTTAGTTACTACATATCAATAATAAACCCTAGGAAGTGACATAGAGTTTTAAATAACGATCGTAATCGCGTAAAGTCTTTCGTGATTTCGGCTGATACAAGTCTTGTAATACTGATTGTAGTCGTCACGATGTAAATTAATCATAATTTATTTTTTATTATAAAAATGGTGAATATCGGTATTGGTAATATATAGACACATTTCGATATTGTTTTATAGCGATCATTTTTTCGGTAAAAGATTGTTTTTTAAAGCCTAGCATATAACTCATGCCTAATAAGTTGGAACTGAATGGAGTGCTGTTATTACTATTAGAGGTTTTAGGTTTAAAAGATAAAGATTAAAAAGTGGTGTAGTTGATATAAGTGTGTAAGAGAAAATTTGAATTTGTTGAAGTCCCCAATCAAATGCATATATTGCTCGCATGAATTCAACAAATATTGTAAAGATAGTTGAAATAGTTTAGTAACATTACTATAGCTTTTGCAAAGATTGAAAATGTTGAAAACATTATTGATAAAAAAGAATGTGATTAAAGGTAAAGATGTATAATGCTTTAGTCTTTAAAACCTAACAAACCGTGAGAAAAAATAGGAGTAAAGAGATCTTTACTTTGGAAAACGTTTTGAGTATATAGTCAGTCAAAAGAAATTATAGGGAATGGTGAAGAAAAGCTAAATTGGAGAGTGAGTCCAAGTGAATTTTAGAAGTGATATCTTTATAAAAAGATTGAGAGCTTCATCATACTTCCAACTTTCATCACTTTAAGATCAAAAGAAAAACTCTAAAATATGCTATTTGGGTCCAATGTTTTAAAAATCGATCGGATAGTTACAACAACACGGTATTAAAAAGTGTTGATATTAATATTTCTATTCATCATTTTTATAATAAAGATTAAATTACGATAAATTTACACCGCAACAATCACAATCAATATCACAACATCTATACCGATCGAAATTGCAAAGGTATCACAAAAACTTACTTAAAATTATTTAGATGCAAATGTGTAAAGTAAGAACAAGAAGTGATGTAAATTCTAGTTATTTTATGTATTATTTGAGGAGTGAAAGTGAAGTAGTAGTTAGTTTGATAAATAAAAAAGAGAATATGGTTGGAAATGCATAGAGAAGACAAAGGAAGTAATCATGAGCATAAATGCTACAAACATGGAGAAAAAGAAAAAGTAAATATACCAATTTATAGATCAATATAATAATGATCATACCTATGACCCACCTTTGCTTTTTCATATTTGTCCTATCAATCTAATAGATTCATGACACATCTACGTGAATTAAAGAATACTATAGTACTACAAAATACAAAAACAATCATAAAGTTTATAAAACTATTGAAGTATTAAATTAAATGAAAAATTAAAATAATGTTACCTGAAATAAGTTTGAAGGATAGCTTCCAATAGGATAAGAAATAGTTGAACTATTTGCTTCATCACAAGCAAATTGTGCATGAAAATCATCTGTTATATTATTATTATTGCATGTATCTGTTGGTGTACATGTTCCTTGAGTGACATCAGAAGATGAAGCGTCACATGGAAATTTTGGATATTCATTATTATTAATAACTTTTTCGTCCATATTTTCCATTATCTCATTTCCACTTGAGTCTTCCCTTTGCATCATTATTTCCTTCTTTGTATCTTCAGCTTGTTCTTCTTCATTAGTTTTTGTGGGAATTTGAATTGTCTTCTTGAAAATTCGACACAACGAATATGAATCCTGAAAAAAAATGCATAACATTAGATTTTAATGGTACAATTTTATTTTTTATTGTTAAAATTAAGATTTAATTCATACATTATTGTTAGTGTAAATATCGTTTATACAGTCAATTAATCATAATCTTAGTAAAAAAAATATAATCATAATTAATTTAAAAGTTATATATATTATATATTATTTGGTTAAGATTAGTTACATTAAAAAAACATGTTACACTTACCATGTATATTAAAATTATGCTCTAAAAAACACCATTGAAGAATAAGGAACAAGAAAGCAAATATATAAAGAGATTTGAAAAAGAAAAGGGAGAAGAGTAATAGTAAGTACACACAAGGATCTGAATTTTTCAACATAACATTTTGATCACAAGCTAGTTTTTTTAACGAGTAGAAAAGAAAAATTAAAGTTTGCAAATCATATAAAGAAAAAGAAAATAAAGATTCATATATAGTGCAGGCATGTGCATCCTTGTAGAACAAGGTTCAAAACATAGATGAGTTTTTTGTTACTCTATAACCATGTTTATTCTATGGCCAAATAATGACAACACGACATATCGATCTCAAAGGAACACTAAACAATGGTTTAATTATTTGTTTCAAACTCAAGATGTTTTTGACCTTTTAGGAAAGATTTTAAAAATATCAAAAACGACACGACAAAACGGTATCGGAAAATACCGATACTTATACCGTTATTCATCGTTTTTATATTAAAGAATAATTTGATACTATTATATAAAGTTTTAGGGTTTCTTATATATATGTACCTTCAAAGAAGAGAGAGAAGCACCAGGGTGTGATTCATTAAGACGATATTCATGCATAACCCAGTTGGTTCTAATTCCATGAGGTGCTCTACCTTTGTAATAAACAAGTGTCTTCTTCATTCCAACTTGTCTCTTTTGAGAACTCACTGCTCTATCTTTTCCTGTTGCTTTCCAATAACCACCTCTTGTTGCTCTATTTGTTCTTGACCCATTTGGATACTTTCTGTCTCTTGGACTATAAAAATACCATTCCATGTCCTTGCTTGGAAGAAATGATTTTTCTGCATATTTTAACCATATCATATTAACTAATCTATGAATGAACGAGTTATATAAAAACCCGACACCGACAGTAATACGTCGACATCATTAATAATATGAAAAAATAAATAAAATAGATACCGGCATTAATACGTCGACATTAATAAAATCCAATCATATGTATCAGTATCGTTTCAAAAACTGATATCGATGTAATACATATTTTTTTTTAGAGGTGTTAGTACTACTCAAATGTATAATGCATTATATGGTTATATATTGTATTGTATGAAATGTACCTGGTAAATCCCAAGGTTCACATTTGTAGAGATCAACTTCTGCAATGATGTCAAGCTCAATGATTCTACCTGTTATTTTTCTTTCTAAATAGTAAGCAACAAGTTCTTCATCTGTAGGGTGGAACCTGAATCCAGGTGGTAGAGTCATTGGAGCCATTGCAGATGATGAATATTAGAAGAGAAAGAAGAAGAGAGAGAGAGAGAGAAAGAGAGTTTGGAAACAAGGTGGGAGAGATATGTATGAACTAAAACAGCTTGTATAAGATTGAACTAAATAGGCCACTGTTGAGATTAATTAATTTGCCCTTGAATATTATGTATAATATATTATAGTATAGTAATGAAGGGGTAAAGGGTAATATGTGGTTGAAAATGAAGGGCTAAAGTGTAAAAGTGAATATAATACTTTGGCTTTGGAAGAGATTCTATGTGTAATGTAATGTGTGAAAACCTAGAAGGAGAGGATAAGAAGCTTCTCTGCTTTTGTCTGCTCACAAACTAACAAAAAACAGTGTCTCTATCAAAAGCCTCTGCGGGCCACTACCAATGCCATTAAAAAATAAAACTGATTAATTGATTGACTATGAAAATTTGTTTATTACACTATATAGTTTCATTATTAAATTTTATTATTAAGTATCTATTTTGATTAATGATGCATAAAAAATTGATTAATTTATTTCATTATTTAGTTGATAAGTGTACAAACATAAAAAAAAAAGTCTTAAATATAATAAAATAAAATTGATTAATAGAGTGTAAGATTAATTAATACTGTTCATTATTTAATGTCTAAAAATGATTATTATATATTTTGTTGATTAATGAAGTAGTGTAAATAATTATTGAATTCTAATTAAAATAAATATTTGTTGGTTAATAAATTATAAATAATATATATTTTGTGATGAATTATGTGATGAAATTGATTAATAATTCAATCTTATATTTATATTATAAAATAACTATTTTATTTAAAAAAATATTTTAAATAATATCTTATATTTTTAAGATAAATTTTTATGATACATAGATAAGAATTTTTTGTATTTTAATTTTTATAATGTGAAGATGTGTTTTATAATAACTAGATTCCTTTAGCTGCAAAGGGAAGATGTATGTAGAATGTTATACGTATTAGTTCGTGATGGGCAAGTTGTTATACTGTACTAAAGCTGCATGGGTCTGTATAGATTAGGAGGGACACTTTATTCGTAAGAGAGTCGTATGATGTGAAAATTCAGACTGTAGTACGTACAAATTTATGGTACAATTACCTCATCACACACTGTAGGCTAGCTGTAGTTACTAGTAGCATGCAGCCTTTACATTTCCTCAATAATCGATATTGACTCAGACAATTAATATCGAATACTAATTTATACAATTTTCACTCAATATCTAACATACCAACTTTCTAATACAAATTCAAAAATATCTCACTATAAACATTTTTTTAGTTATAGTCAGTCACCCTTGTAATTTTTTTTTAGAGAAGGGGCCAATAGTATAAAAACCTTAACCTAATTTTAGTTTTATTTATTTTGTTTTAATTTTTTTTTAATATAATATTTTTATTTTATTATTATTAATTATGATATCTTGAACCGTTAGTTTACGGTTAGTAATTTTGATTCTTAGTTGAATGGTTACTCTATTGTGAATGTAATAAATTGTATTCATAGCTTTGGCCCAAAAATAATAAGTCAGATTCTTAGCATGAAGCACGACTCTAACCATTTCTTATAATGTTTTATTTTTGCAACAACCACTCCATTTTATTATGCAGTAATTGATGTAGAGAACTCTTGAACAATCTTTTAAGAAGAGCAAAGTTCTAAAAACTAGAGTTTTCAAATTCTCTTCCACGGCCACTGAAGGTTGAGAAAAAAATATAAGAAATGGGGATTGGAATTGTGTTTTCAAAAAAAAATTTGTTTAGAAGTGCTTTACATAAACAATCAAAATAGAATCAATGCTATAGAGAGAAATAATGACATATTTAGTTTATACAAGTTCATCTTAGAAAATGTTACTCTTGTCCACCCGCTAAGGTGATTTTGCCTTAGAAAAGGACTTAATTCACTAATCTCAAAATATTACAAATGTACCGGCTACTTGTCGGTGACTAACAACAAAGCAATGATAACTTGTTAGTGATCCCTTAAGAATTCTGACATATCTGGTCCCCTTAGAGATATAATGATTACTGACTCCTTAAGGTTTCTGACCTACCCAGTTCCTTAAAGGAGATTTCTCTAAATCTTCTTGAGTATTCTGACTAACACCTTAGTCACCCAAGGAACAATCAACTTATAGTTGACCATGGAGCATCTTTTAAAAACATTGTGGTTCAAGGGACTTAAAGTTGACTCTTTGTGAATATCTCAGGTACTTTTGACCATGGATTTTGGAAAAATAAAAACTTGCAAGTACAATTTCAAGAATCACAAGATAGATGATTTGATGAGTCTAATTCCCGAGATTGAGAGTTCTACATATTTTCAGAAGAAGTATGGATCCATCGTGCCTCTCATGAAGCTCAGGATGAAGGAGGGTATTCTCTCAAGTTTGGTCCAGTTCTATGATCCAATGTATCAATAATTCACTTTCCCTGATTATCAGTTGATGCCTACATTAGAGGAGTATTCTTATCTACTGGGATTATATGTTATTGATTGTGTTCCTTTCACCGGTTTGGAGGAGGGCCAAAATCTCATGAGATTGCTGATTTGATTCATTTGGGGAAATCTGAGATTGAGGCCCACATGACTACCAAAGGAAGGATTAGAGGATTACCCATTCAGTTCTTATTGGAAAAATCATGTTACTCTGCTAGGATGAAGAGTACAGTTGCTTTTGAGGCCATTTTCTCTCTACTTGCCTATGGTTTGTTCTTATTTCTGAACATCGACAACTTCGTGGACGTCAATGCCATATGGATCTTTTTGATAGGGAATACAGTTCCTACATCATTAGGAGATGCTTATTACTCCATTCATCTATGGGATTCTTATCATGGAGGGATGATCATATGCTGCACGCCTTTGTTGTATCAGTGGTTTATTTCTCACTTACCCCAGTCTGATGCTTTCTGAGATGTCAAGAAGGAACCGCGTTGGGCTCCGAAGATTATGGCCCTCACTCATTCAGATATAGTTTGGTACCATCAGGCTTACCATGATGTAGATATTGTTGATAGTTGTGGTAGTTTCCCCAATGCACCTCTTCTTGGTACAAAGGGAGGAATTAACTACAATCCCGTTTTTGCATGACGACGGCTTAGATATCCAATGAGGGATAAGCCAAATAGTATTCATTTGAGTGGTTTCTTCCTTAAAGAGGGAGAGAATCATAAGGAAGCTAAGGAGCATATTGCAAAGGCTTTGCGTCATATTCACATGAAGAGTAGAAAGGACTTGGGACATAGAGGGGCTGTTTCTTTGGAGCCTTATCTTCAGTGGATCCTCTTACTATTTTTCCCGAACACAACAATTCCGTTTTCGCAAAAAGTATTGTAATAGACATCTACAAAATAATTGTAAATTCATTACTTACTAATTTGTAAAAAAATATTTAATGGAATGACGATTTTAAGGATAATAGTAAAAAGGAAATGATTTTTTTCATAAGACGTCAAATGGACTAATCACAAACTCAATGGGCTTGTAGTTTGAATTTTCACCTCTTCTTCTTACTAGCAACAACCCTTCTTAATTGAGCTTATGTAATTAAAATTTAATTTCTTTTTTGAAATAGTTTTCTATTTTCGAATCGCATGGGCCATATGCCAACATGCCTTATGAATAGGTCCACAGATACATGAGTCTTTCTGATTTAGAAAGCCCCACATTCCTGAATTAAAATACACCCCCCGATTGGCTTAAATTTTAAGAATGGACCACCAGATATTGTTGTACAATCTTTAATTAAATATTTCTTCTATCTTAATCTCGAAAAATAAAATCATCGAGGTAGGACAAATTTGGGGTACGACAGTTGCCCCTATTCAATTATCTTCCAATCGAATAGCGTGAGAAAACTCGAGTCTTATGCATTCTGATTGGGAGTTTATTGAATACTTGGAATACCCCAAAATTTGTCCGATAAACATAAGGCTACACTGATATAGCATACACTTACGAGTCTCAAGGAAGTAGGCAAAGCTGATGATGTATCGCTTACCAGAGTTTGATAACGAGGCAGATGGTTTTGAGCTTAAGAGCACAATTTTGTATGTCTTAGCTTATTCACCCATTTGGAGGATGAATACGACAATGATTGATGATACATGGCTGCTTGAAGACTGAGACCATGGGTTATGTTCACGGATCGCTGCATGACGTCTGGGCGATGGGCTAGAGTTTTGTCTTTTTTTCGAGCATCGCTGCATGAAGTCCGAGGCGATGATCGGTGTTTACGGAATAAAGAAACGCATTGCTGCATGAAGTCTAATGCAATGGTTTAAAGTTTTTGTTTTCTTTTGAGCATCACAGCATGAAGTCTGAGGCAATGATCAGTGTTTATGGAATAACGAAATGTATTGTTGCATGAAGTCTGATGCAATGGATTAGAGTTTTGCAAATCGCTGCGTAAAGCTAGATTTGGTCTTCGGACATCGCCGCATGAAGTCTGAGGCGATGGTTTGTGTTACAAAGTAAAGAGATGTACATTGCTGCATGAAGTCTGAGGCAATGAGTTTGATTCACAAATCGCTGCGTGAAGTCTGATGCGATAGGCTGGATTTTATGGAATAAAGAAACACATTACTGCATGAAGACTAAGGAAATGGGTTAGGTCCACAAATCCCTGCGTGAAGTCTGATGTGATAAACTAAATTTGGGTTTCAGACATCGCTGCGTGAAGCCTGAGGTAATGATCTGTGTCGCAGAATAAGAAATACATTACAACATGAAGTCTGAGGCAATGGGTTAGGTTTGCAAATCACTGTGTGAAGTATGATGAGATAAGCTAAGTTTGTTGTTTCGAACATCGCTGCATGAAGTATGAGACGATGGTCTGGAGTTTGGAACACATTGCTGCATGAAGTCTGAGGCAATGGGTTAGGTTTGAAAATCAATGTGTGAAGTCTGATGTGATAAGCTAAATTTGGTTCTCGAGCATCGTTGCGTGAAGTCTGAGGCGATGATCTAGGTT